TTTATTAATATTTTGGATTGACCAAGAGCACTGCAATTGTTCAGTAATGAAATTCATCCTCAAAAATACAACTTGCCTAATAATTGTGCATGCAGTGTAAACTATATTTGTGATTATGTTCAAGATTTAGTCAACCAACTCCTAGATCTCTGAAATATTAACTGTCTGACAGTTTCAGGCTTCCCAACATTTGTAATGCTCAGCTATTCACATTATTTAAGTACACACATTAACATAGTACTTTTAAGGGAAAGAGAGAAAGAGAGAGAAGTAAAGGAATACATTTAGAGTAGGTCTATTGAAAATACTGGTGCAACTTCACCAGCACATTGATTTTACTTAACCCTGAAGAATTTCACTTATAAATGTGAATCACATGAATGTTTTCCATCAAGTGAGCTAATCTAGAGAATAATAAATAATAGGGGAAAAAATCTGGAATCTTATACTGACAAATTATAGAGGATTCTTTGATACTGACAAACGATATATCCACTTTTGAAATGTGTTTTTTCCCCCTTCTGTTTCTACTATATAGCATTATGCATCCCATGTATAATTCCAAATTATAAACTACCTCTCAGCTACTCCTCATTTATCAACTATACTGATTACTACCTAATAGGTTTTTTTTTCTCTTAGGTTTTTGTTTTAATCATTACATTCTTACTTTGTTGTATGCATCATACATTTTAAGGCTGATCACTGACTACTGGCTCTATAGAACAGATCGATTTTTCCCTTTATCACTATCATGGCCTCTCCTTTGACTCAGCACTAGTAAGTTGATAACACTGTGATACTTGCAGTAGAATGAAAAGAAAAGCTTGATGAATGGGGAAAAACATGTTTGATTCATTTTCCTAATAATAGCTTAATGACAACCATAAACACATGGAGCTAACAAGATTAGATCACAAACAGCAGCACACAGAGAGAAACAGAGAAATTCTAATGAGGAAAAAAGCTGAAATGAAATCTGCCCAGAACTTTGTTCACATATTTTCAGGAGAATAATTTAGACATGTCTAATTTTACCTGCAAAGAACTTCTCAGAATTTGTGACTGTGATATACTTGCCTTTTGTATGAAATGGTTCCGACACCATTTAAATAAAACAGGATATATTTTATTAAGCAATAATCTATTATTAAATAAAACACATAAAACATATTATATGTTGATTAAACAATAACATATTTATTAAACTATATGCACCATATAGTTACATAAAAGGAGACACTCAGATAATACAGTATATACTGTTTCTTTTAAATTTAAACTCACTGTTCATATGAAAGCAAAGACTGGATTCAGTAGAAGACAAAGAAAACAGACACACAGATGCTTGGTGGAAACTCCCTTCTGAATCCTGAGGCCAAATCAGATATCCAGGAAACAGAGTTCAGGAGCTGACTTTTCCCCCCACTGTACAATATCTGTACAATATCTCTTATACCCCATATGATAGTATCCAAATGTCACTTCCCAGAATTCATATGTACAAATTATGCTAATATTCTCTAATCCCCACTGAGCCTAAGTATGTGCCAACACCATCAAATTTGCACTAACTTTATTAGGATATGTGGTGGATGGCCTACTCTAATATGGCCTTTTTAGTCAATTGGGGCACAATTTGCATTTAAGTACCAAGAACGACAAAACCTCTTTGCAAAGTTTAAGAGATGGGCGGTGACAAATTTGATATATAAATAAATAAAAATAAATAAATAGTATACTTGAAGAAGTGTCTTCCTCTTGATCTCCATGAACAATCTAAAAAATTTGTTAGCTCAGCTGCATGAGCCCATTTTTGTGTCTGTCTTTATATATGAATCAGTTTAGTTTTCTCCTCAGTATACTATACAATATCGAGATAAGAAGTAGATGGAATCTGTTCGTCATCTTGCTTGTGCAATTATGCAGTTTTGAGTGTCTGCATGTGGGCCATATTGGCAATGATAGGGTCATTTTTTTCTGTTTTGCTAAAGAAACTGAAGATGTGCTTCACATTATTTTACTTTAATTACAAAACGTTTTTATATATAATTTAACTGCATGAATCAATCTTTTATTTCTTTTTCTTTTTTGGTCTTCCTTTATT